CCGCTAGAAAGGGAAGTAAGAACTTGATTACAAGTGATGGGGTCTTACCTATCGTCCAGAACATCAAGGACATCACCTGCCGTGAGCGAGAGCTCATTGTCATCATTGGCTTCAAAGTCATACAAGACCTTGGCTGCCTAGAAAAACAGAAGTATGAGAAATGAGGTTGAGTCGCGGCGCAGCCCACGGCCAACTTTGCACGAGGAAAGACTCGGGTGGATGGGGGCGAAATCAACAAGACGACGGACCTTGCCCTTCTCAGGAGCACGCTGTGTGGCAAAATCGTCCATGGAAGGATAGATGGAACTGGTAGAGTTTGACGGGGCCGGACGGGTCGACTCTTGCATTTTCTTTGATTCGGCTATGGCACGGCGCAAATCCTCCTCCTCTTTTGCCGCGGCTTCGGCACGGGCGCGTGACTCGGCCGAGGGGGCCTGCTGACCCAATGCCTCCTGCCGAGCGCTCTCAACGTAGACGCCGCTGCTGCGCAGAGCGGCCAAGGTGGTGGTGATGAGCTTGAACTCTGGTTGGGAACCAAAGTCCTTTTCCCAGGAAAAAAGAGCCTTGATCATGTCTTTCTTGACAGGTTCAGGGATGGCAGTGCCCTAAAAACGAGCGTGGTGAGCAGGGGTGAGTGGAGAAAAGGCGTGGGAGGTGGAAGACATACACAAGGGCTCGGAAGACAGGGGACAACCAGGAGCGTAGCGCGCGCGGTTGAGCATGCAAGGTATTGGAAAAATGGAAAAGAGGTGCCGTGCAATCTGAATGGTTGCTTGTGCTTTACTGACCTTGGCCAAGACAACTTTCTTCACTGCATCCATGAAACCGCTGGAGCACATTTCGAGGCGGCAAGTGCGACTTGTGTTCTTGAAGATGGCGTCACTCAGCTGCGGTGACCGTACACACGACAGGTTGTCAGCCAGTGGGGGCGTAACCGGCCTTGCCTCCCCACGCCTTTCCAAAAGCTGGCAACGTGCGTCGGCGAGGCGAGAGGACCACAAGTGGGCACGAGACGACAAGAACAGCAGGCGCACCTCCACGGCTTGTTGAACGACACGGGGCTTGCTGTGCAACAGGCGCTTGATCAAGTGCCGAATGGCATCTTTGCAGTCTTTCTCCGAGGCTGCTTGTAGCTGTGGATGCATGGGATGCAAATATGAGGGAACGGCACATCCAGAGACGAGAAGACGCAAGCCCAAAGCGAGTTGGAAAAACCGCAAGGGACCCCACGTACGGTATCACAGGTGTTCATAATAATCTGCCAGTCCGGGTTGGTGTTGCTTTCGCTAGTTGCTTTGTCTGGTTGGCCGGCAGCAGCGTGAGACGGCATCATGGCACAGAGTGGGCTTGGAAGGAAGCCGGGCAATGCGGCTTGCACGTACCAATCTCATCGGTGACCTTGGTCATGGTGCCGGTTGGATTTGGCGCGATCACGAGAGGCGTCAAGGGGGCAGACTTGTTGTACCAAGCAGACTGGCTCTGAGAGGGCCCTGGCCTCCCCAGCAGATGCAGGTCGTGTCCCAGCTCAACAAGGGTTGAAAACAGGAATTGCCGTCCCAAGACCACGACCGGTCTCGACTGGGCGCTTGAAGGAACGGTTGTTATGATCAAACTGAGAAGAGGGCTGACCTGCCCACACGCAAGTGTGCTGTGCAGTGCCCAGCACGTAACCAAGTCTCCAGATATCAAGACAACGCGCCTCAACCGTCTGCGTCTACGGTCTACACGTGAATCAGTCTGTGCGCGCCCGTGTGTGCCCGTATGAGCGTGTGTGCGCCCGTGCCCGTGTGCGCGCAGATCAGTGAGTGAGCTGGAAGTTTGAGGAGAATGCGCCACTGACCCGAAGAGAACAAAACAAAAAAAAGAACACACACACACACACACACACACACACACACTCACTTGCTTACTTTGACACAAGGGGGGGGCCTCTAGCATCATTGGGCTGTCGTTTGAATTGGTTGGAGAGCAAGGCTTATTGAACGAATGGGCTCAACGTGGCGCTGCCCTTTGTCCTTCTCCTTTCTTGTTCTTCTGGCGCCCTTACCCGTTCCGACGTGGCGCTGCCCTTTTTACCTTCTGGCGTGTCACCTCATCTCTCGAGTTACATGTGTTTTTTGTCGACAAAGCAGAGCCTTGGCTCCAAGCCCCATAATGCAGCTTTTTGTATGATTGAAATTAACATTTATCCCCGCTCAGCTTTTTAAAATCCTGCAAAACACGCTCAGCAACTCTTCTCTCAACGTCCCACGCACATCATGTGTGATGAGTCTCTTGTCTCTCTTGTCTACGGTACCAAATGTAAGTCAGTGATGTTGTGACATAGTGTTGTCATCGCGCTCATGTGTGTGTGTGCGCCACAAGGGTTGCGCGCAGCTTGCAATTTGCACTTTTTCTTTCTTGAGGACGGGTGATTTTGGCAGTGACCAGGTACGGCAATGGGGTTCCGACAGATGGCAGCCCATGCTGCGGTGTGGATTACAACCCTTTGAGGCCGTCAAAGGATCCTTGCGCACGGCTTGCTCTCCCACCATCTTTCTCTTGTTGCTTGTGACCTCGGCACTGGGACGGCGCTATCTGGTCTATTCTCCAAAGAATCGGCTGATCTGCCTGTCTCTCCTTCTCCTTCGCCTTGAAGGCTGATTGGCTCACTCGCCACGTTTTAACTGTTTAGCCATCATGTTGCTTCTGCCCAAGATGCTTGTCGGCAGCCTGCGCACTCGGTGAGTCTGAGAGCTTGGCTACTGGCAGCTCTTCGTCTTGGACCGACTTGGACCTCGCTCACAACCCGCATCTGGGCGGGGTGCGTGATGGTGCCCATCTTTTCCTCTCACCCCCGCCTTGTTCAGGCTGTCGACCAGTCCCGTCGCGGCGACCCTCCGCCAGCTGAGCGTGCTCGGTTCTGCCGTAACGTACGTTGCCCTGCTCCGCCTCTGTAACGCCGACCCTGCATGAACGGAGGCACTGGGCTTGCCCTCACGCACCTCGTACCACGTTGGTTGTTGAGACAGGATGCGTCAAAGCCTGCGCCAAGTGCCGATTCTCGCCCAGTCCCGGCTTTATGCCTCGGGTCAGTTGCCAAACCCCGCTCACCCATCGGCCATTCGTGTTGCGTTTTCATCAATGTGGCTCCACAGCTCAAGGCATATCTTTGCTGGCTGCTGGTGTCTGTCCTTTCAGATCTTCCCAGCCACATTGTTGTCAACTTTCCCGCTCTCTCCCCAACCATGACGACTGGTACCCTCATGGAGTGGCAGGTAGCCGTTGGGTACGTAAATTCATGTGCATGCTACGCCTGAAGCACTGCCTCAATGTCTGATTTGAGGCCAATTTTCTCGCCCCGCCTCCCACACACAACGCTACTCTTTCTCATCTGACGGGGTGGGTCATCATGTTCTTCTAGCGACGAGGTTGCTGCCGGCGATGCCCTGGGCCAAGTGGAGACGGACAAGGCTGCCATGGCATTTGAATCAACTGAAGACGGCTTTGTGGCTAAGCTCCTCGTTGAAGACGGTACCTCCGACATTGCCATTGGACAGGTATGTGCGCACCCCCGTGTTCTTCTTGCGTGCCTTTCCACACCCACTCCCTGCCCTTTCCCCCTCGCACCTCACGTCTTGCCCGTGTCTACCCTGCGCCGTCTCAGCCCGTCATGGTCCTGGTCGAGGACAAGGACGACATTCCTGCTTTTGAAAACTTCACCCCCGAAGCCTCCGCCACCCCCGAACCCAAGAAGGAAGAGCCAAAGGCGGAGCCTGAGCCTGCCAAGGACTCACAGCCTGCCACCCCGGCTCCTACCCCGGCTCCTAGCCCATCCACAACCGAAAAGTCTGGTGACCGCATTTTTGCCTCTCCTTTGGCCCGACGCCTTGCTGCCCAGGCCGAGATTGCTCTGGATCAACTCAACGGCAGTGGCCCTCGTGGACGCATCACTCGTGCCGACGTGGAGGCTTACCAACAGTCCGCTCCCGCTCCCGCTGCCGGTGCCAGCACCAGCACCAAGGCGGCCTCGCCAGCCGGCTCAGATGACCTCGAATACACTGACGTGCCCCTCAGCAACATGCGCAAGGTCATCGCCAAGCGCCTGCAAGAGTCCAAGCAGCAAGTGCCGCACTACTACCTCACTAGTGATGTCAACGTGGATGCCGTCTTGGCACTGCGTCAACAGTTCAACGCCGAGGCCAACGGTGAATACAAGCTCTCCGTCAATGACTTTGTCATCAAGGCCTCTGCAGCCGCCCTGCAGGACGTCACCGAGTGCAACTCAGCCTGGATGGATACCTTCATCCGCGAGTACGACTCTGTGGACATTAGCGTGGCCGTCAGCACCGACGCGGGCCTGATCACCCCCATCGTCTTTGACGCTGACCTCAAGGGTCTGCGTGAGATTTCTGAGAACGTCAAAGAGCTGGCTGGCCGTGCTCGCGAGGGCAAACTTGCCCCCGAAGAGTACCAAGGTGGCACCTTCACCATCTCCAACCTCGGCATGTATGGTGTTTCCAGCTTTTCTGCCATCATCAACCCGCCTCAAGCCTGCATCCTCGCGGTATGATCCCTTCGCTCAAAGACCATTGAGACACCTGCCCTGTCTCTCGCCCCGCATCCACTTGATGTGCATCCTATTCTTGTGTCACTTTGTCCTGAATGGCCCCTGCTCACACCCGTCATCGCTCGTAGGTTGGTGGTACGGAACAGCGCGTCATTGTGGACGCTTCCACTGAGAGTGGCTACGCCACCGCCAACATGATGAGCGTGACGCTCTCGTGCGACCATCGCGTCGTGGACGGCGCCGTTGGCGCCCAGTGGCTCAAGGCCTTTAGGAAGTACATGGAGAACCCCATCTCCATGCTGCTTTAAACACGGAGGTGATCCGCCGAATTGCCAAAGGTGATCGGACCGCTTGCCGTACAAATTCACGAGCTTCTTCTCTGGCTCGGCATCCACAATGGTGCGATGCCCTGTAGAAAAACGTGTGAAACGTACAAACCTTTCTTAAGAGAAAGACTTTTTTTTTTTTCCTGGTGAAGCACCTGATCTGTCCCTTGTCCTTGTGGGCAAAGACGTACAGTGACAATTTTATAACCAAATCTCTCTCTACTATGTGTAGTCATTGCCCCGTCCTTTTGTCTCTTCTTCCACAGGTCACAGGTTTTGCTTTACATGTCGCGTCAAGTCAATTTTTGGTAGCACAACGCGCAAGGCTACACAACATCATACACGCGGGCCCACCCCGAAAGGCAGGTGGACACAGGCAACAAAATCAACAATGTCATTCGATCGAAAGGAGAGTATGTCGGGTGGGTATGGTCGGGTCACGCTTTACATGTCAGGTGCGGGCAAACGAGCAGCAAGGAGGTGATAAAGCTGGCTGAGGTACATGAGGCGATGATCCACTCGGAAGCGAGTGGCACTGTCCACTGCGGCCAGTGCCAAAGGGACCGACACGCGCTCGTGAAGGCAATACCAAAAGAGGCCAAGAGCGGCCGACTGAGAGCGACCATGCAGCTGAATGAGGACGGTGCGGCCTGCATCGACGTGGCGGGTAATAAAGTCGGCGGCGGGAGGAAAAATGGCTCGGACATCTTCACGTGGGTCTGAATCCCGAAGGGCCAGGTGCAGATACTCGATGCCATTGACCAGTTCCACTTGACCGCGCACATCGAGAATGTTGCGGCGCTCTGGCCGGTTGTGGGTCACAACGGCTGCCACCCCAAGCTGGGCTAAACGCTCAGCCGAAGCCTCAAAGGGGCGCGAGCCGACAAAGAGGTGGCGGTGCAATTGCGAGGGCAGTGCCGCCAGATTTGAAGCATCCGTACCTGGCGGGCCAGTGAGAAATGGGTAGGCAGCCCGCAAAACTCGGTAGCCCCCCGCCATGGTGCGAACACCTTGGCAATTGCGGATCAAGGTCCGCTCGAGGCGCTTTAAGCTTGCCAAGAGAAGCCCAGCAGCATCTGGGCGTGGTTGATCATCCTCGTTGTTTTGCTGGTCGGGACCATTATTGCTAGGCCCAGCGCCGAGTGGGTCACCGAGTAGCTGCTGGAGATGGCGCCGATCCTGGCCCGGTCGGACCAGCGCCCACTCGCGTTCTTTCATGTGCTCCAGACGCTCTTGAAGAAATGTGATGAAGCGAGCCTGGGCTCGGCGGACGTCAGGAGGGGCTTCATCCTCAGCATCACCGTACACCACGACAAAGTCGCACTTGTCCGGTAGGCCCCAGATCTCGACGTGCTTGGCCAGGGCCGACAGAAGCAGACTTTCGCAGCGAGCGTCCACAAGCTCGTCAGGCCCGTCCGGTAGCTGACTCAAGGGCAGTCGAAGAGCGCAAATCACGTGGTCTGGCTCGTTGACACGATGGCGCACATCCAGGACGAGTTGGTCGACAATAGGCAAGTTGAAGAGTTGAGACAAGGATAGGGCAGCGACCATTGTAGATCGAGACGAGGGCAGGCAGGTAGGCAAAAAGAGAAAGCAAAGGATCAGGGCAATAGAAAAATGCCCGACATCGAGGTGTGACTCGCACACCAACAGCGCCGCACCTCGTGATGGGGCGAGCTGCACCTGCCCGTCGTTCTTCTACGTCGTCTGCTCGTGTCAGCCCGATCCCGCCAAGCTTGGCCCCTAAGGAACCTAAAGGCTCTTGCTTTACTTCTCTCTCTCTTCATCTCTCTCTCTCTCTCTCTTCATCTCTCTCTCTCTCTCTCTTCTTCTCCTCTCTTCTCTTCTCGGTTATGCAACACACTCAGCCTCACTGTCCGCAGATGTCAAATGTCAGATGTATTTGTCAGATAATTTTGGTGTTCAAAGGTCGCATTTCTTCATCTTCAAGCGAAAAGAGAAATCGGCGTCTGGTGCGTATTTGGTGTCTGTGTGTGTGTCAGTGGCTGGCTGAGGTTCAGTGGGCTCGGGTTCGTCTGGGGCTTGCTTCTCATGCTCTGGTTTTGTGGATGGATAGACGGATAAGCATGGCTCAAGCTCTGGAAGCCACGTGTCGATTTGTGCCCCAGAATGCGGGGCAACGCTTCCTTCCGGAAGGTGCGGCGAAGATGTCTGCGCACACGGAGTACCCGCTTGCTTGCGGCAACTCAGGGTCATGTGCACCGTCGGTTGGGCAGGCCTGCAGGAGATGGAGCTGCATGGGCGTCGTGGCCTGGGCGGTGTCTATATCCAAGTGAGCAAGACGGAGCGACAAGGCTATCTATGGTTCTACGTACCCGAAGATGGCACACACACCGTCATCGAGCTCAGCCAAGCTGGTCGTCCAGCCTGGTTCCGCCCGACCAATGAGCCCGATGTCCTGATTGTCGGTGAGAATGCAGCTCCCCAGAACCAGCAAAGCCAGTCTCTGACTCCTGCCTACAGACTTATTCATGTACCTTGCGCCAACGTGTAGGAATGGAGAACCAGGTTGGCTTGGTGCACATCAAGGACAGCAAGGGCGAATATGAGCACCTGCATACTCTGCCGGCCGAGGTCACCAGCCCCCGAATCATGGTCAATGATGGTTGCGTTGCTCCAACGGGTGAAATCATTTGTGGTATGCTGTCTCGCCCTGCCTCTCGATCCCCCTTGAACCCAAACTGGACTCGCATATCGGCGTATGCACAGTGTACCCGCCCCTGAGCAGCTCCCCCGGCGCTGTGCCTTCACACACCAACACCTGCCCCGCTCATGCAGGCTGCAAGGACTTTGAGTTTGACATTCCAGGCAACCGCGCAGGCACGTACGTCATCTCTGATCGTGGTATCAGCAAGCTGGTGCCTGCAGGAGAGGTCTGTGCCAACGGCAACGCCTTTATCACGATCAACAACCAGCCCCACATGTTGCACATTGATACGCCCAAGCAAACCATCCGTGCTCATGCCTACAACGCGACCACGCGCGAGTTTTCTGCGCCTGGAGCCGTCATCATCGACTTCAAAGACAAGGCCTTTTTTGAGGCTCATCCAAACGCTGATTTCCACCCTGCTCTGTTCCCTGATGGTGTATGCCAATGGACCACCGCCGATGGGCATGAGAAAATCGTTGTGGCTGTCTTTGACTTTCGCCCTGATCAAGTGCGCTCCGGGCAGGCTTTCCAATTTGACGTCACCAACGGACAGGTCAGTGCAGTCCACCAATAGCCAGTCTTGCACACCCATCACACAAGTGGCCCTTAGCTCGCCCCAGGCCCAAGACCAGTCAGCCGACTGAGCCCCAACGCACACGGCCTGCTCGACCAACGTGTCATCATGTGCCTGATGAGCGTCTCACATGACTTCCCCGCGCTTCTCTGGCACAACCAACCCAACGGCTGCAGGCCGTATTGGACGTGGTCTACCGGCTCCCTGGCTCCCCGCGTGTCACCCACCCTGCCCTATACAAGGTCAGTTGTCCTAGCCGGCACGTGGGCCGCAACCAATTCGCCGAGCGACGCACCTTTATCCAGGCCAATTCTTAATGTCGATGTACCATGGGCATGGTGTTCTTTGCAGCGGGCGGATGGTCGACTTGAACTCTGGTTTACGACAGCCGACGAAAACCTGCTGAATAACCTGCCAGAGGGCGCTGATCCATCCTCCATCGGCGGCCTTTTTGCCCTTGAGCTTACCGAAGAACAAACGGGCAAGCAACCCCTCACCTCTGGTGTACACGCATACAAGATTGAACGGACCTAAACGTACAGCTGCCCCAATCAGCAAGCTGCGACTACCAGCATAAATGTCTGCTTTTCCCTTTTACTTTGTTCGTTGGCCGACTGTGGCTTTGATTTTATGTGTTGCGAGTGAGACCAGGGTCAATTTTACGAAAATCGCCGTTAGTGCAAGCACACCCTTCTCTGCCTCTCCGTCAAACAAGTTTGCTCGCATTTGAGACTTGGTAGCGCGTGTCGTGAGGCCACAGCATCCCTATGCGTCACTGTGTGTGCGATCCCGTGGTGAATAGGGCGTCAGGGGCGGTAGCTGCGTGTCTGGCAATCGCCACAGGCGCTGCCCAAACTGGAGCCAGTAAATGTGGTAGAATCGGACCTGCACAAGGAGTGGGAGTCAGTGGCAAAGTGTCACGTGAGCAGACAAGCTCACGGGGCGCAGAGCATGCATAATGAAGCGCAGAACACCCGAGTCAACCCACCCACCAGTTCAGGAATGGACTTGAACGACTCGCTGTCTGAGATGGAGCAAGTGCCATCCTCCTCAACCAAAATCTTGATGTGATTGAAGTCGCCCAGGGCAGCCGGCTGCTTGACCGTAAAGATCACATGCGCCCCTGCTCGTGTCGCAGCAATGCTACCGTGAGAATGTCACGCAAGCCCGTGCTCCTCAAAAGAACGCGACATTGAGAGGCCAGGCTTAAACGCGGATGCCGACGAGGCCTCAAACTTACCGCCACGTCGAACGAGATATGTTCCCGGTGGATGTTGATGCAAGACGGTCTCGATGGCTGTTCGCTTGATCTCACCCACATACCTGCGCACAAGTCGAACATGAATCTAAAAGGTTTGCTGCCTATGTCAGGCTCTGAGGGGAGTGGGACGACATACCAATTGTACATGCCCAGCTCACGATCCATCGGGCTGTCCTGTATTGCATGCAAGATTACAATCAAGCTCAGATTATCCTGGCGCAAGCCAAAGCTGACCGAGGATGAGAGCACACGTACGTTGGGGTTGATCTCGTGCACTGCGTGGTTGCGTTCGTCAAGCATGACAATGGAGTGGCCCGAGTTACCCGTAGGGGGCCCCATCTGAAAATGACAAGTTGAAGGCTGAATTGAGACTGACTGACGGAGTCTTGACGATGATGGCAATAAAACTGTCCATGCCGGTACAACCAGGAACCGAGCACTGCTAGCAGAAAGACTAGCACCCCCTGCAAACCTCTTTCCACGCAAGGCTTCTTACCGGTGGGCGCAATCGATCTGAGGCGTGGTTGCTTTGCGGTTCGGCCGTACTGTCGCCGGTATCTTGTTCATCCACTATGCAACGGGTGGGCGCGTAGGCGTCTTCTGAGAGCCATCGCACTAACGTGTCGTAACTGGCACGGCACATGTCACCGACAGCACTTACCAACGTCAGACACCTGTGCGTAGCCACCGCCAGCATCAGCCACCGAGGCACTGTTTTGGTCTGCCACCTGCTGATACCCTGTTCCATCGCCTAGTTGCCACCACCACCACCACCACAAAGAGATGAGCTGTCGTCCAGAGACGAGATAAACCAACAAAGATGAACACAATGAGCAAGAGATACCCGACCAATCGCCACAACCGTACTCATGGTAAAGTAGCTACCGGGCGCGCGAGGTGGCAGCGATGGTGCCGCTGTGGCACCCGATGGTGCCTCACCATCCGGATCAGCCAGCTGCGGCAGCGTCAAAACGGTGGCACTACCATAGGCCCGCAAGTTCTCTGAGAAGCAAAAAAATACGTTGCCAGCATAAGACGCTTGTCAAATCAATCATGGTTGGTTCGATTCTCCGTTAACAGGCATGGCAAAAGAACCCACGAAATTCGCGCTGCGACTTGCGCTCGCTGATTGAAAGCAGCTTGCTGGCAGCCGCTGCTTGCTCCTTGTCCTGAAGCGAGATGGCCGAGGCCCGGCTCAATAATGCACTGGCCGGGGCCTTGCTGGGTGGAGGCTGTTCGCGAGTTTAAGAGGAAACGAAGTGAGGGGTTCCCTGTGGCTCTGCAGGAGTAGGCGCGCGGCGTAAAATGGCACCTTTTTGGGAGTGCTTGAGGAGCCCAGTCCTTTGTGTATGCGGTGCGCCAGCGTGTAGACATCGGTCCAAGAGCGTTGTTCCATTGGTGGGCTTGCGGCGGGCTTGGCCATGTCAAAGGAAACCTGAGGAATCACTGTCACAATCCCCACCCCGCACCCCCAAGCCAACGTTCATCAGACTATGCCCTCCAGCTGGAAGAAGCAGACTTGATCAGAAAGATGGGAGACTTGTTAAAGCCGAGGCAGGAAACTATACCAGCAGAGCGTTGGCGCTGCATTCGAGAACCGCCCGAAGTTGTATCGGCAATGAGGGTGAGCAGGTCCTGTGCATCGCCCTTGACCTAAACACACCATGGCGACCGCAAACGATGAGATTTGGGTTGCGCTGTGCATTTGTGTGCGTGTTGCATTTCAGGGGCTTAAATGCAAGTCGGTTCGGGAAGACTGCATGCAAGGACTCTGCCTCAATCGCTTCGATCCAGACGACACAAGTTGAGGCCGACTCTTACATCGCTGCCCATCGTGTCGGCGCGCTTGCGGATACTGCCCTGGCTGGCTTGTGCCATGGCCGCGATCAGCAAATGAGACTAGGCGAGGCGGAAGCCTGGAGGGAGCCAGGGCAAGCCAGGCGTTGTCGTCACGATATGTGCGCTGTGTGCTAGGTCCAAAAGCAGCAGTTGCATGCTTTGTCGGGGTGACTGTGACCGCAGCGGAGCGCGCAGGTGAGTGAGAAATGCCAACCAAGACCAAGAGCAATTCGACCAGAGCTATCATGGGCGCACCGCCACAGTGACAAGCCTTGCCCCTGCACTATTCAATAGCCACAGCTGAGAAAGTTGCATGCATGCAGCGAAATGTCGCGCCTGAACAAAGGATTTTTTTTTTCTTGCTTTCTTTTTTTTTTGAGCCAAAAAAAGCAAGAGGAGAGGGGCTGGTGTTGAGTGGCATGCTAAATCATCAAGCCAGCCGGATCTATGGCTGGGTAAGTCAAGGATCGAGTCGCACGCAGGAGAACCAACGTTGGACGGGGCGTGATTGGAAGGTAGATCAATTAAGTGTGTGGAGCACGAGTTGACAAGAGGTAAAGCCATCTTCGAAATAAAAACTATTGGCAAACGGCATCAAAATGCGCGAAAAGATGATTGGCCAGGGCTTGGCGAGTGTCAAAGGGCCGTTCGCACAACCAACATGTCCAGGCCGATGCCAGGGTCGATTTCGTTTTGGCAGCCGGGAGCGTTAGGCGCACGCGCCCGTGCTCGCGCACATCATGCTGTAACAAGTCCGCTGCGCTGGAAAAGGCCAGGCTACGACAGTCGCAATGCAGCTCTTGGCGAGTCGATGCAGTTGCGACAGTCTCCAAGGTTAACGCATGGGGTGTGCGCGGTACCCGGGAGGTAGCTTTGGCCGTTCGGGCCGTTCGGGCCGTTCGGGTTCTTCTCACACCCGCTGCTCCGCTCGTGTTGCCAGCACGCAGCTGCTTCGTCTTGCGACTTCTTGAAGCTTGCGTCGATGCTGGCGTGAGCACTGGCACTGGCACCGACAATGAGCTACTCGTGCTCTTTTTGGTCAGCATCAACGGGCGAGATAACATGGTGCTCAGCCGAAAATCGACGGGAGCGGCGCTCGAGCCAGGTCTTGAATCTGTCTGGGGAATTGGCACAGGGGTCGCCAAGTCAGGCCTCATTGGGCTGATATTGGGCTTGGCTGGCGGCACCGTTCCTAGACTTGTGCGGCCGTGTGTCTTATCGTATTGGGGGGTCCTATCACTGACAGGAACATCGGGCACACTAGCAGACACCTGCATGGTGCCTGTGTGGGCCGATGGAGGAGGGCTTGCCTGCTGCAACGTCTTCATTCGCTGGGACATCTTGCCCTTGGCCTTGACCGTCTTGGAAGATTTGGTTACCTTGGCCGCCTTTGGTTCGTAAGCTACAGCGGTTGCGCCAGAAGACGTTCGGCGTTTGGTCGGCTTGCAATCCGCCGCCAAGGCTCCTAGAGTGGTGAAAGATGGACTGGCCGGCAAGGGTGCACATAGCTGAGCGAGAAGAGGGAATTCACTGTCCATGACGGGCAGCTCGGGAAGCGTGCTCAAACTACGCAGTCGATCTGATGCGGTGGTCATCTGCTCTGAGGACAGAACGGGTGGCCGAGCTTGCCCACTGTGGCCCACGTTCACCAAGGCATGCAAGGCCGTGGCCTCTGAAGCTTGACTCCAGCTGGTGATGGGTGTTTGTCGGTGCAGTAAAGGGGCCATTTGGTTTTGCAGTTGAAGTGGGACAAAGTCGGGAAGCGAGTGCAAGCTGGTATCATAGACACCCGACAGAGCTGCGGGACTTGCCGTGGATTGGGCCCCGCCCACGCTGATCGATACGTTGCCCACCACGCCGGGGCTATTGACTACAAGTGAAGCCGGTAAACCACCTCGGTCTGAGAGGAAGGATGAGTCAAACGCGGCGGATGGAAACACACTGCCATTCTGCATGGTAGAGCTAGCCGATATTTCTTGCAAGGCAGAGGTAGCAAACTGTGGAGGTGGATACACAATTGGTGGTGTAGATGATGCAGTGAGATGAGAAGCAGATATGGTATTTGCGGAGCTAGGCTGAAGTCGCAGCTCTGGTGGTGGGGGCTGCGGTTGTGGCAACGGTGGCGGGGGGGATGGTTGTGGCTGCAGCAGTGGTATATTTGCTGCCTGTGTCAGTTGTGGTGGTTGGCTCTGACTCTGACTCTGGCTCTGGCTCTGGCTCTGGCTCTGGCTCTGGCTCTGGTGCTGGTGCTGGTGCTGGTGCTGGTGCTGGTGCTGGTGCTGGTGCTGGTGCTGGTGCTGGTGCTGGTGCTGGTGCTGGTGCTGGTGCTGGTGCTGGTGCTGGTGCTGGTGCTGGTGCTGGTGCTGGTGCTGGTGCTGGTGCTGGTGCTGGTGCGGATGCGGGTGCGGGTGCGGGTGCGGATGCAGGTGCTGGTGCTGGTGTTGGTGCTGGTGTTGGTGTTGGTGTTGGTGTGGGTGCTGTTCCAGGAAAATATTGAGCAACGCCTGTGGGGGCAGGCGTGGTTGCTGCTGCGTGCCGATTGGTGGAGGCTGCTGCTGAGTCCCACCATGCTGCTGCTGCGGAGGTGGTGGCTGTAGGTTGTGTGCTTGCGACAATGGCTGCGTTGATAGTTGTGATCGATGCTGAAGCTGCTGGTGAAGTCGCTGCAGATGTTGAGTGTAGAGCATTCGATGCAGTTGAAGGCGGGCGTGTGCCTGCTCCAGATCTTGTGGACCGACGTGCCGTAGCTGACCCGCTGCTGACAGCTGCGGGGATGGTACATGAGATGAAGATGGTACGGGGTGAAGATGGGCGCTTTGATTGTCGGCCATAGATGGTCTCGCGCTCTGTGCCTGCTTGATCAAGCTGAGTAAAACCTGGGGCGAATTATTCGCCATACTAAGCATGGCAGGTAAATTGATGGATGCTGGCTTTGCCGCAGAGGCTAGGGTGCCTGGATCGTGAGCCATCACGACAGGTTGAGCCGTGCGTTTTGGCCATGAGTAGCACAACCGTCTAGCCTCATATCATGTCTTTAAGCCCAAGACTGATGCCGTGTCC